TCTCTCTCTCTCTCTCTCTCTCTCTCTCTCTCTCTCTATCCCTCGCGAAGGCCAAGGTCTCCGTACCTTAAAGAAGACCAACGTGTTTCTACCGGCGGGCAATTCGGTGCTCAGTTTCAGGCGCACTTGGTCTTGCTCGACGTCGACCGGTCTGGCGCATAGAGTTCTGCACGACGACTGTTCGAGGAAGCGATCGAGAATCTCGCGATCCTCGACGTCCACCTCGTCGTGTTGCACGGACGCGCTGAAGAAGTGGCCCGCCGTGGAGACTATCAGTCGCCTGCGTTTGTCGACGACCACCATTTCGTCGCCCGCTTCTAAACGCGTTTAAAGCACAGTTTTAAAATCATACGAGCATTCGGCGAAGTGCGGTCTCGTGCAAGAGCGGCCGCTCGACCGGGTCGTCACGACGACCAGCGATCAACACACAACACAGCTGTCACTATCGCTACACGCATCGATGCACGTGCGCAGATACGCGTGACGCTGCTCGAATCTGTCAGATTGCTTTCTATCTAATCGCCGTGCCGTAAATTAAAGAGAGACGAAGAAGTCATTCTCCTACTCGGGAGATCCGCGTATGCAGCTTGATGATTGCAATATCAAGCTCGACGGCTTTATAAAACACGCGCAGATATTATCACGAACCATTAAGTCTCAGCAAACAGTCATGCTTCGTTCTGTAAGTAGCAACATTATAACTGATATAATAATCTCTAAATAGTCTCTTGTATTCTTATTTAATTATTGCTTACAATTTTAGCGAAATTATAAAGAATGCGGAATATAAAGAATGCACCCACAGAAAAGAATTTCTGGATCTAATGCTATTACTCTTCAAACTAGCATAAAATAGGATCGATATAGAGCCAATCATATTTATTATAAAGAACAGAATATTTTAGCTTAATAATTGGAATAAAAAAATCTAGATTCTTAAATCTAGAATAAAATGATCTTGGTGCTACAATAAATAGTAACACAATCTTATGCCAAATACTGGCGCTAATATCGGACATTATATCGGACGATGATTTATTCTATATGCAAGAATAAACAAGCTTAAACAAGCTTTGTATGTATTATT